AAGCAGTGGTATCAACGCAGAGTACTTGTGAATATAATCAGGTAAGAATCTGTTGGTTGGATCTCTACCCATTAATTCAAATTCAAATTCAATCGCAGATAATGAATATACTTGCCATTAACAATGATTGTAAGCAAACAATCGAATAATGACTGGAGTTGATGAATTCAAGTAGTTATAAACTTATGAAACACCTAAATAACCGATATGACACAATACACTAGAAGCGTAACCCATCACTACTATGATTGGTAAGAAAGCATGGGTACCAGTGAAGGATTGTATATCAATGGCTGCCTTGGCGATGCATGGTTTATTGAGGCGAACACCAAAGTTGCGTCTCCACTCAGCAAAAGCACAAGAAATACGCCCATGTGAATTAGACCAACGCGTGCTGAAAAGGAAAAAAATTGAAAAAAAAGAAGTAACAATACGTCAGCAACGTCTATACTCACTCGGATCATTCCTAGACTCTGTGATGTGGTACAGAATGGGAACCAGTATCTCAAGAATAACAGATGTTTTTGAAACGTAGAATAAGACTTTCTGAAAATAAAAAACTGCATGATTACACAACAACAAAAAGTATGGGTAGAGATCCAACCAACAGATTCTTACCTGATTATATTCACAGCATTTCCACAGAAGCACGAGTAGCTCCTGATGGAAGTTTACTTTTTTAGCAGAGTTTGGAAGATATGTCGATTGTAACGGGTTACTGAGTAATCTTGTTGCTTCAACAAGTGGTTCACGAGAATCATTGAAAAGCAGATAATTGTACGGAAGACCCATGCCAACCGGATTTGAGCGCAGACAATATTTAGCAATGAGGTAAATAACGGCAACACATTCCACATTCCTATTTTCAGCAGATGTGAAGTGAGCGACCCAGCGAAGGCGACTCTCATCTAAATAATCTCCAGACATACTGAACTCAAAATAAAAGGATTAACATACCAGTTATGGGCGCATAGATAACTTTCGAGAAGCAAGTCAATAATAATTTCAGGATTTCTGTACGATTTTGGTCATGCTGGGCGCTGGAGCTCGGCTTATTTGCAAATCCAACTCCTGCTTTCCAGATAAGCTCACAGGTCTCAAGTGAAGCAAGGTCATCTACTTTTTCCTAAACAAATGCTCGATAAGTGAGACTAGAATATGTTTCACAGACCAATCACTAGGCTGCCCGAAAAAAGGTACCAAGTAGTACGCTGGCCATAGGCGTTTGTCCATCACCCTAGCATGACACAGAATTCGATGTGACAGAAAACAGGACAGAAGGAAAGAATCACAGTGGGCACAGAAGACCAAAAATACCCTCTCCATTCTGCATCTTCAAACATGTATGGAATAAGCCCAGTTAGTAGCCGTATACAGCTGATTACCTACAAAAAGCGATATTTTTCCAAGCCGAATGTAACTAATCTAAGTCTCTTAAAAAACAAAAATCAATCCTCACCTTTCACTCATTTAGCTCACTCGGATGATCTCCTGCATACTGTAATTGTTTTATAGCATAAGGTAGCAAGATTTTTTGGCGAATCGTCTCTGAAAACTGCTACGAATAGACATCATAGATCTGATAACGATGGTTAGAGAAAGACCAATGTGGATAGATGGATACGATGTAGAAAATTATGAAATTTCGGAAAATTTGATTATAGGTATTCGGAAAATCTGATTATCGACTACCTTAGCTTTCTGACGTCATCAGCTGGGATCATAGCGAAGACATCACTGACGCTGTGAACACTATCAGGTGACCATAGCCGTTCCCAGAAAGAAGCGTCATCTTGTAATTCAAGTTACACCGATTTGCAAGCAAGGACATAGAATACTAGATATGAGTGATTAGGCTCGGATAAGCATACGATGCTGCACGTCTGTACACTAATTCATGCTTCTTTCAATTCAGAATCACAAAAAGATAATCACTACGGAAATTCCCGGAAAATTACATTTCATGTCTTCAAAATCTCCTGTAAACCTATTCGATTGCCAGGAATTGCATGTTGAAGCTCTTATCACACGGCAAGGGAGAACGTGCGTTCGTAACTGCTATCAAACCAACAATGGAATAGCAAGTATTAAATGGATGCGTACGATACACTACCCTAGAACATGACTGACTCGTACACCACGTTAGTGCAAAAAAATGTGAAAGCCTCACTAAGAGATGGGAAAAGTAATTTAATGCTTGCTAAACCAAACGGTTGGAAACTGCAGTTGTTCAGATCAGGATTACTACGCTATCCCTTGTACAATTTTCAAAACCGCTGTCATTGAATACTTTTTGTTACCGAAATCTCAAAAGGTGTAGAGGCAACTACGTACATTTTCAAAGTAGACCACTTCCAGAAATTTTTCAACCCATTTCCAGGAAGAGGAGCGCTCCAAGTCCACCACCAATTTCTTTTTTGATTTTCCGGCAAACCCCGAGAGAACTGCTGTCTAAGAAATTAAGCGTCTGAGAGAGTGTTTTGCCTCAATCGAGTTTTTCGATTTCGTGCTTTGGCTTTGCCCGATTTAGGTGATACAGTTAAGAGAATAGTAATAGAATGATTCTTGAAGTCTTAAACGTCTATAAGAACCTGGATTTTTGCACATTTCGCTTAAAATATAAGATGGGAGATAAACATGTCGATTTCTGAGTATACCATACGCTTTCATTGACTTCCAAGATTCGAAATTTTAGCGAGAATAACAGGACAGACAAGGACACTAACCTCCCTGCTGGGGAGGGGATCGCAGCTTAAAAGAAAGCTTTATATTTCGAAACTTCAGATAGCTGGACTTCAAATTGTGTACATATCCGTAAGTATTCCTACTACCCTTCACTATGAACATGTTGAACAGGAGCGAGAAGCTGTACGAACCGCATTTTCCAGCTTTAGTATGATCCTTGATGATCCCCGGCGCTTTTCTTTGAAGTCATTTTTCTTTCTCCGAAGTTAACGAAAACCTTCCAAAGTTGTACTGAACATCTAACACAACAGTGCTAAGCATGTTGCTGATGAGAACAAATGAGTTTTTGAAAAGTCGAATTTTTCGGTAAACCTCAATTTTCGACCTGTGAATCATCGAAAATTTCATGACTTCAAAACATCATTCGTTCTTATCAGCAACATGCTTAGCACTGTCGGTTTAGATAATCTGCACAACTTTGGAGGTTTTTCGTTAACTTCGGAGAAAGAAAAATGACTCTAAAGAAAAGCGCCGGGGATCATCAGGGATCATACTAAAGCTGGAAAATGCGGTACGTACAACTTCTCGCTCCTCTTCAACATGTTCATAGTGAAGGGTAGTAGGAATACTTACGGATAGGTACACAACGTGAAATCCAGGTGTCTGGAGTTTCGAAATATAAAGCTTTCTTCTAATCGTAAGCTGCGATCTCCTCCCCGCGGGGATGTTAGTGCATGCGGCCCTAAGTCACTGAACCCTTTTGCTTGAGACTACGCCATCTAAAGGCTATAAGGTATGCGAAGAACCCATCTGATGTTCTTAACGTGCATATGTCGCCTGTGTTCTTCTGATGAGGGGTACTGCTTCGCTTTCTCATCGTCTCCCATTCGGTCACAAAAGGGACATTCTTTATCCATACTGCACAAAATATGACTAGCTGTCGCTTGTTCGGGACATGCTCCAGCGCTTTGCGAGTTGTCCGTGCAGTAAGTGGCTTTAGTACCTGGTCATGTCTCAGCTGCGTAACGGAGCCTTGCAGAATGAGTCAAACAGGTGGGTTTACGGCTCCGAAGTCCGTCAGCTAGTCAATGGCTTTTTTCACTTGTCCAAAGGCGTACCAGACTTTTTTTCCCGTTGAGTTCCTCCCTCAAATTGTTCCCCAGGTTCATCGAACGTTTAAGGTACAGGTAAGAAATCTCCTTGATGAGGATGCTTTCCAATTCTCTGCATCTTCGCAAAGAGCTCAGTAGACTGAGTCTTCTTTAGTCTACACCGCAATCCAATCGTTTTCCCTACTTCGTTTAGTTTCTTCAGTATCATCTCCGCTTCAGTGGTACTGCTCGAAAGGCATGCGATGTCGTCCGCAAAACGAAGGTTGGAGAGTAATCTTCTATCAATCCGTATCTCTCTCTCGTCTTAGTCCAGTGACTTCAACACCCACTGCAAGGCCGCGTGAACAGCTTAGGCGAAGTTGTGTCGCTTTCCCGAACCCATTTCCCGACTGGGACGGGCAGGGTCGGGGAATTAGCTACATCATCCGTACAATGCTTGTAGCAAGAGGCCATTTTCGTCATGTAAACTGTGTCATCCGTGATCGACCAGCTCTGACAAGATGGCGTTGTTTTCGACGTTATCAAAGGCTTTACCGTAATCGACCAAGGTTGGGACGAGAAGAGTAAGCGTAGCGGCGACAGTGGAGGCGAGCTTCTGGCTGGCAAGAACAGATCACCGATCAGTACTAAGTAGTTTATCGTTAAGGCATCAATGTAGACAGAGGACAGTATATGAATAGTCGACAATAGGAGATCATCGGTGGAGTGGTTGAGCATGGAGATTGGATAAAGCACTGGATCGGGACAGCATCAGCCAGAGTCGTGGAGGGGTACGGTAGAACGGCCGGTCGGTGTCGGGGCGAAGGAGCAACTCCTCGAGCCTTCGTATCGTCGGTCACGCCCTAAACATATGAATCACGTCTTCTGGCATTCCATCGAAGATGCAAACGGAGATGCAAAAGCATCTCCCTTACACCTCCCTTATTTACCAACAAGTCCGTCCTTGGACTTCTAATTAAGAAAAAGTATGCAAAGCAAAGTATATGAAAAGAAGTATATAAGGATGTATATAAAGAAGTGTATAAATTAAGGTATGTAGTATATCATAAAATATAAAGAGATAATGTCTATGAATATAAAGAAAACAATTAAATATATATATATATATAATGAAAGTATGTATAAAGAGAACTGGTTATGAAAATCTTACCGTTGTGCAGGAGGTAGATACTGGTCCAGTTGAGCGGCAGGTACTACGGCGTGGCGTTCCTCGGCCCAGGCCAACACTCGATTCCAGAAGTTGATGCGACGAAGTGAATCAGTATGGCCCAGCACGAACAAACCTTGGCGGGAACGGGTGAGCGCAACATTCATGCGTTTTTGGTCATCTAGGAACTCGCCAGAAGTAGGCTCAAAATCAGTTCGGGTGGTGAGGAGAATAACGATGTCCTTCTCTCGGCCTTGGATGGAATCAACAGTGGCGAGCTCGACTTGGTTCTCTCGTGCAAAGTCCGCCAACCGGCGCATCTATTCCTTATAGAACGTCAAAATACTGATGGCAGCGGGAGACACATGACGTTGGAGAAGGCGAGTGACGATGGTTCTACAGACTTCGGCCTCAGCTTCGTTAAAGTAGGAGCGACTAGGTGCTCGTGCCGAGTTTCCGGCGACGCTCAGGAACAAAAACGGAGTAACCCCATCAGGGACTTGGTAAGATGGTACAAACAACAATTTGCGCGTAGGTGGCAATCTTCAGCTAACCGAAGCCACTGAGCCTTATCTGTTTCCGAGACATTTTCAGGAAATTGCCCTGTTTCCAGGAAAGACATGATAGGGCTACAGACTGGGTCGCGCTTTTGTTCTAGTAAGGCATCGTAATGCTTAATCGCAATTGGAGTAACGAGGGAGGAATTAGTTGGTGGGAGAGAGCGCAAACAATATCCTTGTACCGCTAGACACATAGGAAACTCTACTATGTCTTCGGACTCTGGAGGTTATCCTGAAACTGAGTCTGAGAGTTGACTGATCGTGAAAGGCAATCGGCCACAACATTTGATGATCCCTTCAAATATTCTATGGTTATGTTATAACTTTGCAACTCGATTACCCATCGCGCTAAATTATCATGGGTCTTATTATGTCTGAGAAGATACGTCAATGGGCGGTGATTGGCGGTTGTGATCAGAGAAAATACGGGTCAGATGCCCGTAAATAGTGGCCTTGAAGAAACGAAGAGCGCTTACCATTGCAAAAAGTTCTATATGAGTGAGACTCCACTTTTGTTGGGACTGGGATAGAGCTTTACTGTAATAGCCTATGAATAGGGACTTCTCATCGCTGGCTGCTTGCTGGAATAACGCGGCGCCTATAGCAACTTGGCTGCCATCCGTGTGGAGGATAAAATCACGTTCTTGAGGGAACGCCAAACATGGCTTGGTTATGAGTTTATTCCGTAGTTCGTCAAAGGCTTGTTGCTGGCGCGGACCCCATTTGAATTTTGCTTTATCCTTGGTTAGTTCGTACAGGGGTGCTGCTATGGCGGCGAAATTTTGTATAAACTTTCGAAAGAAATTAACCATTCCCAAAAAACGTTTGACTTCTTTTACTGTAGAAGGGGTCGGAAGGCGCTTGACCGCTTGGATGTTCCTATCGCAAGGGTAATAACTATCTCCTGAAATTTCACGCCCCAAAAAGGTGATTTTGGAACGCGCGATGTCGACTAGTTTCTTGCCT